CTCTCCACCTCACAAGCAATCCCTGTGCTTGAGTTGCAGCAACGACCCGACAGTCAACATTACACGATCCAATAACCTTTCCATCCACCAACCATCATGCCTACCACAGCAAACACACCCTACCCTCCTCCCTCCAGCATCATGCCATCTACAGCCCACAACCACCCCTCCAACATCCACCCCACAACCCCTCATACGGTCCACACCGCCCCAGCAGACACTGTGTCTCCCCTTTGGGAGCCACTGCCTGCCAGTGCGTCACTTGACCCTATTGCATGGCTCTTTGTCGGCTTCTGCCTGACATTGTTCGCCCACTGGAGAGGTCATACCCTGACATGGTCCAGTCTTAGGCGCGCCACCGCCTATGGACTCTGCTGGCATCTTGCCCTGCACGACAAGGCAATGGCCACAGCATGGGACCTGATCACTCAGACGCACCTGTGGTGGAGGTGGATCGATGATGACTGTTGTCGATCAGCGCCCTTCTAATAGGTTAAATCCTGGCTAGGCCACCGTGCTCCAGGTCATGATGGGAAGATGCACACTCCCGTTGTAAGTAGAGCTGTAGGGACCTGCCCCTTGTTCATGGGGCGGAGGTGAATGGCGGTGAGACTATAGGATAGTGTAGCCGTGCTACTATGAGGCATATCCTCCTTCAGTGTTGACACTTGGTGTGCACCGTGAATCTCCCTATCGTGCAATTCATCAATGGTATACGACTCAGCTATTTGGGCCCTCGGGCTCAACTATTGCCAGCGTAGAAAAAGGTCCTCCGGACCCAATAGGTTGTTAACCTAAATAAGTAATTAAACCCTCAACAAGAGGAGAGGCTGTTGTCGATCGATCGGATAACAAGAGGCTCTATTAACTCCAGCCCTATCACCAGACTGAACGTTGTTGAGTCATTGAATGGCAACAGTTAACCGGAGGAGGCTACACGAAAACTCGAAATGCACAGAGGAGAGTGGATCCTCCTACCGGATTCATCCCTCCAGTGTAATTTCCTAGTTTTTTGGTGGTGATTCCTGTGTCGGTACCCATTTTCCTGTATGCACAAGTCCTCGACTTAGTGAATTTGCGCCAAGTCGACATGTTGGAGGAGGATCGATTTGGCCAAGTCCTTGACTTGGCCAATTCCAGAGGAAAACTTACTAATCTAGATAGCAAGTAATGAATTAGGTAGAAAGGTTAAGAATTGGCAACCAAAGAAACCATTAGGAACCTAGCTTTTAGACCTAGACCTTGCTTCCCAATCTGGAACTGAGAGAGGTTCCAATCCACAACCATGTGGAGGTTGCCAAAATGGACCTTGCCTTGCCTAATTGGAACCTAGCACTTGGTTGGGAAGATGCGGTTGGGATGTGCTTCCCAAACTAGACCTGAGGTTCCCAATTCAGGAACTACCTACAATTGTGCTTCTTAGATGTGCTTTGGAAACACACGCCAAATGTTCAGGCGCTCGAACTGATGGGGACTGAGCTGAATTGTTACATTGCCATTGGTATGTACGCGGGAAACTCGGTAGGGACCAGAAGCCGTAGGCTTCAACTTATCACTGAGACCGAGATACGCACGCTTATAGACCAGATCATCGACCGCGTAGTCATAGGAGATGCGTTTAGCATTGGCCCGCAGCAATCGTTTGTCAACCAAGGATTGACGGTGTCGTTGCATGGCCAGGATGTCTGCATAAATAGGAATGTCAAGAAACATATCTCGTTTGAAGGCAAGAGCACCAGGAGTGAGATACGCGTTCGTACTCTGCACGGAACAACGATGAGCATGCATCACTGTCGCCAAGGTTTCGGAAATGACCTTGATCCCATCAGCCGCACTCTTGGGATCGCGCGAAACCACAATGGTTCGCAATACTTGACCAATTGCCTGATGAGTCCGTTCAATCATCGAGTTACCTTGTGGATTACGAGGGGTCGAGTACCGATGCACCGCACCGTTCTTTTTCACCATCTTGATGAATTCCAGTTTGAACTCCGGACCGTTGTCTGTGACCACTTTCTTAGTTCGGGGATAGTACCGAGCAAACCACGTATCTTCGACCACTCGAGCACCTTCTTCCGACGTTCGTCACATGATAGGCACAATCTGCCTCTAACAAGTTTGTGCAAGGATCCACCATAGTCATGGCATTGAAAGTCAACATCCGTTGTCGTAACTCAATCATCCACGGACCAATTGTGTCACAATGGACTTCCTGCCAGGGCATCGCCGTAGCATCACGTGGAGCAGATTCTCCATAAGCACGTCGTGCTCGTTTGTTCTTCGCACATGCTTCGCACTGCTCAATTTGTTTTCGGACTTCGTCGCGAATACCTCTATGGTAGAAATGTGTCTTGATCATTTGTTCTAAACGATCCATGCCTTCGACATGTGCCATGGACTTGTGGTAGAAGCTGACCAACTTGGGAAGGAACTCTTTTGTCAGGACAATCTTGTCCTCGTCATTCTGACAAAAGCATATCAGCTCACTGTTTCCAAACATCTTCTTGAAAAATCGTTCCGGGTTATCAACCAAGTGTCACAATCTTCGCGAGATGTGGGCACCCGGCTGAGGGTGTCGCCAAGAACGTTTTCGGGGCCCGGCTTGTAATGAAATGTTGGACCAAACTCTTCCAAAAGCAATCGCCATCTCAAAACACGTTGAGTTTGGAAAGCAGAAAGTTTGTGAGTAAGGTTCGTATGATAAGTAAACACATTGATGCGAGCTCCGAGCAACATAGACCGAAACTCTTTGAAAATTTCGACGATGGAAAGCAATTCCTTTTCAATGGTAGTGTAATTCTTCTGCGCGGAATTGAGTTTGCGGGAGTAGCAAGCCACTATGCGGCCGTTTTGTTTGATCGCACCGCCGAGTTGATAATCGCTGGCGTCCGTATCGATCTCGAAAGGAACGTTGTGATCGGGATATGCAAGCAAGGTATCAGCTGCTGCCAAGGCCTTCGTAGCCTTGAAAGCCTGTTCTTGTTCGTCGGTCCACTCAAACTTCTTGGTACCGATAAGCTTTGTCAAAGGATCCAATGTGTGAGAACGACGAGGCCATATATCACGGTAATAAGTCACCAAACCGAGGAACGAACACAGTTGCTTGATATCAGTAGGAGCTTTCATGTCCAGGATGGCGCGCACTTTCTTCGCCACAGGTTTTACGCCGATGGGAGTCAACCAATGTCCAAGGAAATCCGTTTCTTGCACAGCCCATTCACACTTCAAAGGATTGATCGTGAATCTGGCTTCTTGGAGGATCTTGAGGACTTGATCGAGCTTGTCGAGATGAGAGCGCCAATCGGAACTGAAAATGCCAATGTCATCGATGTAAACTTCGATGTCGTCTAGAGCTTTGAGTAATTTCTCCATGATTTCTTGGGCAATGTCGGGAGATTGAGAAACGCCCATAGGAAGTCGTCTGTACTTGTAAAGCCCAAAGGGCGTAGCAAGGGTACACAATTCGGAACTGAAATCGTCAAGTTCGAAGGTGTAATACTGCATGGAAATGTCCAACTTGGTAAGGAAGGCATAGTTCTTGCGTCGCGCCAAGATATCAGCAATGCGTGGAATAGGATAAACCTTGCGTTTGATTGCCTTGTTGAGACCACGAAAGTCAGAGATCCGTCTGACCCGACCATCCTTCTTAGGAATAATGAAAGTACCAGCAATCCATTTGGAACGACTGCCTTCTTCAAGGACTCTGATAGAAACCAACCTATCCAACTCCTTCTTGAAAATTGCTTGTTGGTGATGAGGAACAGTATAATGATGGCTTCGATGGGCAGGAACTGTTGGATCAATCTCCAAATGAATTTGTCCGCCTGTGTATTTACCAAGTTCAGGACTAAGCAAGGTGTCATACTTCTCAAGGACATCACGAAGCTCGTTGTGCTATTCTTGAGAGAGATGAGTGCAGGACCGAACCACTGCGGTAATGTCGGCCCCCTCATACTTGGATTCGAGAATGTGTTTGGTCTTGTAACCCAAGTCAGCTGCCTTCTGTTCTTCTTCGAGAGTTGCAAAACATGAAGACTCTTTTTCGGATTCGGGGAGCATGTCGTCCAAATCGTCATCCAAGTCGTCTTCAGAGCAATTTGTAGAAGCCACTGTAGGCAGGGTGTCGTCATCTTCGAGATCCGCTTCGAGGAGATCAAGGAACATAGATGTAGCAGGAGGAGTCTTCTTGTCAACCGAAGATGTAGGAAAAGGTCTCATGTCGATGCTAACCTCGTCCCATGTCATCTTGTGTCCCTTGAAGTCAATCTTCAATCCCATCTCAAGGAGGATGTCGCGTCCAATGATCATATCATACCGAACATTGCTCGCAGAAAAGACTCAAGCATGAGCGACATCGATGAAACGGGACTTGTAGAACTCTGGAAAACACAACCGGTCTAAGGTAACAACACGGTTCGAATTGATGTTGCCAGCCAATGTTGTGGTAGACATAACGTCACCAATACAAGGGACTGTTCCCTTAGGCAACGCCTTTTCACTAATCCAGGTTCCACTAGAACCAGAGTCCATCAGGACTAACAACGGTCTATCAGACGGTTTAGTTTGTATACTATGTAGGGCGCAAAGGGCCATCGGCACCAAGTCCTTGTCCACATCGATCCCTTCAGCCGCCGCTGCATAATTCTCAAAGACCCTTGTTGATGGTCAGTAATCGCCACCGTATCCATAGGACTCTTCATAGTCATCGTAACCCCCTGTCATGGAATCAAAGTAATGGGACTCTTCCTGATAATACATCTCGTCTGTTTCCTCAGGAGGCGGCATCGAAGCACCAGCAGGAACCGTAGAGGATTGTTCTTCGACATGGAACACATCATCGTCGCGAACATCACCGTCAGCCACAAAATTATCGTGGCGAGGACTGTAACCACGTCCACGTCCACGACCACAAGGCGAGGCATAGCCACCACGACCGAAACGTCCAGCAAAATTGCGCACCGGAGTAGTCTTGTTGCGTTGCTGTCCGTCTGGTTGTCCACGTTGGTATTCTCGGGGAGGACTACGGTTGTACGTCCAGGTAGGAGCTCGACTCCATCCTCCGTGACGGAAGCGCTGGGAAGGACGATAGTAACCAACTCGAGGACCATCTTCTTGACCATAGGTACGACGATAACCAGAAGAGCGTCCACCTCTTCCAAATCCACGTCCAGCACGACCACGTGCTCGACCACCACCACAGCCACGAGAGCCTTGTTGGCGAGCGTTGTAATTCTTTTCTTGATGAGCAAAGAACCGAACCATCTGCACTGGACCGATAACCGTAATGTCATGAGCGGAATCAGCAAACTTGTCTTTCCACGAAGGAAGCATCATGTTGTAAAACAACATCTTGAGAGCAGGAGCATCAAAAGGGTTCGCATTGCCAGCACCAGGGAACTTCGCCATCAAGGTGTTGATGTACTCCAACGAGACCACAAGGTCTTGCAATCGAGCTTGAAAGGCTTGGTCGTTGTCTGCAAATATCGCGTCTGATCGGCGAGATTCGTGTCTTCAAGGAACTTGGCTATGAACAAAGTAATGCAGGCATCGAAATCAGCAACAGCTGCACCAGGACGCGCTGCTCGAATAACGTTCCACTTGTCTCGAGCAGAGCCTTGAAGACACTTGACAAAGAAGTTAGCTCTCAATGTCCCCGTGTCCAATTTCAAAGCCGAGTTGCCGGTCACTTGATCGAACTCCTTGATGACTCGAAGGACGTGTTCCGGTTCTTGTTCATCTGCCAGGACAATCATATCATGCTTCCGCTTGATGTTATTGCCAGCATGTTGCCAAGAACGGAACAACTCAGTAGTAGCAACCTCACTCGCATTGTACTCGGGGACCAAAGGAATGACCGTATTCTTGCCCGACTGACCAAGTGTTGTCATGGTGAGATAATGAGCTTAGAAATAAATAACAAACAGCAGTACTTGCGGCTTTATGGTTAGTAAGAGTTGCAAGTATTGATAAAGAAAGAAAAAGGAGTACTGTAACTTCGTAAATTGAGTTACACCCTTGAGTTACCGTTGTTAATAGAGCGAATTTTCGAAATTGTTTGACAATGGCCAAACGCCTAGTATGCGGCTGCGTAGAATGTACGCAGGAAGTTTCTTTTGATTGATGTGCAAATTCCAACCGAACTTGCTTCTGAATTCAGAGTGAACTACAATCGGAATATTGTGAGATTAGACTTAAAACTAGCGTTAAAGCGCCACGTCACACACGTGCGTATGTCATGATCCATCACTGGGCCAAGCAAGCTTTCAAAAGCGCCAAGAAATGGAACCACATCTACAACCCTATTGGAGACTACTCTGTCGATCTCAAGCCTCCCACATGTGGAACAACTGGTCAAGTGTACACAAAGTCTAAGGACGGCGTGCAGCATGTAGCGCGACTGACTCGCAATGACATTGAAAAGGCTGGTTCGGCAAGCAACATGGACAATCAGCAATCCTACTCACCACAACAGAAAGAACGAATCCTGACGATGATCACACAAAATACGCTAGCTCTTTCCTTCTACCTTCCACTCCTGTAGTCCTCGATGCGGCTACCACTCACTGATAGTGTCGGCCGATCGTCCTACCGTAGTAGTAATGTCTCAAGTCGTGCTTCACAGCTAGCCTACATGAGTACCATTGTCCCCACATACAACTGTTTCTCTACTAGTCATTACAAAGAAGTGGCAAGAGTCTTTTGCCCACTTCTAATTAATAATAATAATAATAGTTTGTCCCACAAATAGCATACTCGGGCTAGGGAATCCTTCCCGCCCAGCCAACAGATGCGGTCTCCTGTGCACCTGTACAACATGCCCATCCTCCATGGTTTGGAGCTGTACTGGAGCCGCAATCGAAATTCCTTTGTGCACTCTCCCTTGCATCTCGCTTCTGATAGCCGGCACCAGCTCGGCGCATTCCATATAACTACCCGTGTAAAACGCGCTCGATCGTGACTAGTCCAAGTACTGGCGCATGCTCCCCGAATTCTCACAATGCAGGATCTCCCAGACAAGAACGGCAAGAATTGCATTGTGGCTTGTCACACGGCAGCATGCATTCAGGACGGCACACGCCAAAGTTCACGCGTGGCTTCTGCTTTCTTCAAGGAAATCATGATGGGTGATACGTCCAACAACCCACTCACCGAGAATGCGCTTCACAAGACACCTGATAATCTGTCATTCCCGACCAGATTGCACGCAAGATCTGCGTGGAAATTGGAAATGGCCTTGTTGATACTGATAGCAAGAAGGTGAGATTGAAGGGTTGCGCTGGAGCTCGGGTAGTCGACAAATTTGGGCTCCAGCAAGCCCGCAATATACTCTCATGGGCCAGCAAGGAGAACAGCTTGGAACAATCTCGGCAGCTATTGATTTGTCACTTTGCCAATGGTGCCAAGAAGACCAACACGGCTGACAAAATGCTTTGAATATCTCATTAAAAATTCATTAATGACCATATGAAGCTGAAACGCGACCTCCAGGAATTGCAGGAT